TGTATCTCAATAAAGCTGTTACTTTTTAAAAAATGACAGAGGATTAAAGATGGCAGTGGACTGAGTGGAAGCTACACTGACACTTCTGGGACCAAACTGGAATTACAACAAAAATATAGAAAAACCATCCTGAATAATCAACTGCAACTGAAGACGAGCTGGAGAGCACCCTCATGACCAAGAAGGAAGTGTGGAGACCTCACAGAGACTGGTAGGAAGTATGGAGTTGCAAAGGGCTGGCAGGGCTAAACGTCCGGAGGGGGATCTCAGCTGTGGGGGGTTCCCACTGAGGGCTCTGGGACCTAAACCCCAGCCTGGGCTTCCCAGCCAAGAGCACGAGAACTGAGAAAGGTGCCCACGTAACATCTGGCTGTGAAAAGCAGCAGGGTTTCTACCTGCCAGGGAGAGGTGGCTGGAAATGCAGGCACCCTCTTAAAGAGCCAACACACAAAATTTCGGGTGCAGCCATTCACCTTGGACACTTGCAAAGGGAGGGCAGAGTGGACTGGAGCTGTGTGAGGAGAATCTAGGGTTGTGGACTCTGGAGCTAGAGCTCCGAGGACACCCCTCAGGATTCCTGTGCTGAGTCACTCCCCCATACTGCGTCTTTCAGAGGCAGACATTTACCTTCCAAGCAGCTTTTGCCTGAAGGGGAAGCAATTGCCCCACCCTGCTGGAAAACCTCTCACCCTATCCCACGGAGTTTCAACAGCCTGAGGCTCATTAAGAGAATCAGATTAATCAGCTGCAGGCAGAGGCAGACCTCAGAGTGCTTTGAGTCTTTGCCTGATCTGCTTCTTGATCCAGGCCTTGGAAAAGCAGACTTTGGTGTGCATCTTGGTCCTGTCCAAACATACCCAGCCCCAACAGAGGGGAACTCAAGCCGTGGGTTGTTGGTAGCTCCAAACAGGGTACTCGAGGCCAGTCACAAACAGTATCTGACATTGGCCTGCACCAGAGACCTTCCAAAAAGACTGAGGGTCCTAGCAGACCTATCTAATACATAGAAACAAAACCAAATAGGCAGCCAAAATGGGGAGACAGAAAAACAAGCCCCAAATGAAAGAACAAGAGAAGTCTCCAGAAAAAGAGCTAAATGAAATGGAGATAAGCAATCTATCAGATATAGAGTTCAGAATACCGATTGTAAGGATGCTCAATAGCATGAGAAAAGATATGGAAACTATGAAAAATGACCAGTCAGAAATGAAGAATGACATAGCAGAAATAAAGAGCACATTGGAAGGAATAAACAGCAGATTAGAGAAGCTGAGGATAGGATCAGCAAATTAGAAAATAGGGTAGGAAAAAAAAAAAATCAATCAGAGATCCAAAAAGAAAAAACAATTTAAAAAGAGGAGGACAGCCCAGCCAGGCATGGCTCAGCAGTTGAACATCAACCTAGGATCCAGGAGATCGCAGTTCAATTCCTGGTCTGGGCACATGCCAGGTTTGTGGGCTCGACCCCCAGTCAGGGGCGTGCAGGAGGTAGCTGGTTAATGACGACTCTCTCATCATTGGTGTTTCTATCTCTCTCCCTCTCCCTTCCTCTCTCTGAAATCAATAAAGATATATTTTTTAAAAACATACAAACAAACAGGAGGAGAGTCTATAGGAGCTGTGGGACAATGTGAAACGTAACAATATTCACATCATAGGAGTACCAGAAGAGCTTGAAAGTAAGCAAGGGTTAGAGAACATGTTTGAAGAAATAATGGCAGAAAAGTTCCCTAACTTGGTGAAGGAAAAAGACACACAAGTTCAGGAGGCACAGAGAGTCCCAAGCAAGAACCCAAAGAGGCCCACGCCCAGACACACCATAATTAAAATGCCAAAAATTCAAAACAAAGAGAGAATATTAAAGGCAGCAAGAGAAAAGCAATCTGTTAGCTACAAAGAAGCTCCCATAATGTTGTCAGCTGACTTCTCATCAGAAACTCTATAGGCCAGAAGGGAATGGCATGAAGTTTTCAAGGTAATGCAAAACAAGGATCTGAAACCAAGACTATTCTATCCAGCAAGGCTATCGTTCAAAATAGATGGTGAAATAAAGAGATTCCCAGACCAAAAAAAGGTAATGGAGTTTATCGCCACCAAACCAGCATTGCAGGAAATTTTAAAGGGACTGTTGTAATAGTAGAAATAGAAGCATTGCAAGAAATGTTAAANTTTAAAGGGACTGTTTTAATAGTAGAAATAGAAGCATTGCAAGAAATGTTAAAGGGATTGCTGTAATAATAAAAAGAAATAGAGAGAGAAACATAGGCATAAAGAATTTAAATGGCAATAAATAAGAACCTATCAATAATAACCCTAAGAACTTTAAGGGAGAGATCAACAGCAATACAGTCATAGTTGTGGACTTTAACACTCCACTGACTTCACTGGATAGACCTTCCAGACAAAAAGTCAACACAGAAACAGTGACTGTAAATGGCACACTAGATCAGATAGATTTAATTGATATTTACAGAACATTTCACCCCAAAGCTGCAAAATATACATTCCTCTCAAGTGCACATGGGTCATGCTCAAAGATAGACCACATGTTAGGACACAAAACAAGTCTCTACAAGTCCAAGAAGATTGAAATCATATCAAGCATCTCAGGCCACAATGGCATGAAATTAGAAATAAACTACAGTAAAAACACTCAGAAACATTCAAACACATGAAGGCTCAATAGCCTGTTATTAAACAATGAATGGGTTACCAATAAGCTCAAGAAAGAAATAAAAAACCTCCTGGAAACAAATGAAAATGAATACACAACAACCCAAAATCCATGGTACATAGTGAAAACCATCCTAAAAGGGAAGTTCATAGCACTGCAGGCCTACCCCAAAAAGCAAGAAAAAATTTTAGTAAACTATCTAACCCGACAATTTAAAGAATTAGAAAGCTCCCCTGTGAAGCCGTCTGGATCAGGGCTTTTGTTTGCTGGGAGTTTTTCTTATTACTGCTTCGATTTCATCAGTTGGCCTATTCAGGTTTTTTGATTCAGTTTTACATGATCTCATTCATATGTAGACTCTAATAAACAAAATAGACTGAGGAACGAAATAGATCCAGAGACATAGAAGCATGGAACAGACTGATGCATCTCAATGGGAAGGTGGGGGTGGGGGAGTGAGGGGAGAGAGATCAATCAAAGAATTTATATGCATATATGCATAACCCATGAACACAGACAATAGTGTGGTGAAGGCCTGGGGGGGGGTGGATTCGGGGTGGAGGGGATCAATGGGAGGAAAAGGGGGATATCTGTAATACTTTCAACAATAAAGATAAATTTAAAAATTGTTTTAAATAAATAAATAAAATGACAAAAATAATTTCCCATACTGCCAGGCTGGGCTAGGTGGTGAAGTATTTGATGACACACTGAACAAAAGTGTGCACATGTGACTAGGTGGCATGATATAGCCAACAGTTATCCGGTGGTTACTTAATATGGAGTAACTCATTTCGACCTCACTCCCACCCTGGAAGGAAGTGACCCCACTTTCCAGGTGAGCCGGCAGAGCCCAGATTTCCCAAGGTGGTCGTACCTTCCAGGAAGCCCTCCCTGGTGCCTCTGAAGGTCAGGCCAGCTATGGGGGTGGTGCACAATCGGTGCTTCATAAAGGCTTGCTGGCAGAATCCACAAGAGAAAGCAAGAGGACAGCCCTTTGTGGTGCTCTCGCCCCTAGAGTCCCTTTTTCTGATTTTCAGGGACAGGAAGTAACATTCCCAGGGTCACTATGGCCAGCCTGACAGTGATTCTATGCTGAAGTGGGGGCGGGTCACCCCTCGGCCAATGCCTGGCCCTCCTGCTAGCGGGGGACGCCCCAGCTGAGTGCAGTCCTCCTCCCCCTCCTGCTCCAGCCGCAGAGCTGATTGGCCCACCCTGCTTCCTCTGTCCACCTGTTGCTGTCTTTCAAGGGGCCACCCTCCATCCAGTCCACCGGGCCCAGCGTGGCGGCTGTGGAGTAAGTGGGGCAGGGGGAGGCCTGGGCAGAGGTGGGGGTCCCTGGGGGTCTGGGGAGGGCATCTCTGAGATTCATGGGGGTCCCCAACTCTGTGGCTGCCCCCTACACACCTAGGAGTGCACATCCCTGACCATTAGGCATCCCCACTGCTGTGCCAGCCCCAGAGAAGGGTCACCTTTCTGCCCAGGGATGGGATACACTAACACAGGCAGCCAAGAGCACTGGGGACCCTGAAACAAAGGGCTTTGGGAAGCCAACAAACTTGGGTTTGACCTCGAACTCTGCACGACCTCTGGCCAATACCTCCATTCCAGCCTCAGTTTCCTCCTCTGCCCGGTGAGAGCAGAAGCAGTGAGAGAAGACAGGGACCCCAGTGTTGAGATAGAGAGGCCCCCAGGACCCCCTCACCCTTCCCCTGCCTGTTGTGGCCAGAGTGAGGTTGGCCCTGGCTGCTGGAACTTGAGCTCCTAGATTTAGGAGGCCAGGGGGAACTGGGTGCCAGGTATAGCAGATGAGAATGGTCTAGAGGGGGACCCCTTGGGGGCAAAGGCCTGGAAGGGGATGGGCCACAAGCTGGCCTGCCCCATGGCTCTTGGGCACCGGATAAAAATAGTCCCTGGTCTCAGAGAACATGAGCCGACCCTGAAGCTCGGGGTTCTTGTTTGGGCTCTTTGCTCATCTCTTTGTGACTTTGGGTGGGTCCTAGCCTTTTCTGGACCACAGCAGCCTCTGCTGTGTGCTCAGGGAAGCTGGGGTCCCTGAGGGGCTGGGTAATGGGGAGGGGTCCCAAGGCAGGCCTGGAGGGTCAGGGAGTGTGCCTGGACCATGCCCTGAGTATGAATTTGCCAAGTGAAGGGTGCTCCACACAGAAAGTCATTCAGGCCTCGGGGGAGGCAGAGGCTGGGTAATATGTGCACTCAGAGTCCTCCCTACCCAGCTCAGGCCCAGGCCCACAGCAGGGGCTCAGTAAATGCAAGATCCCTCTTTCCCATCCCCCCACCACTTCACAGCTGGAGTCTGAACTGAACCCACTGCTTCTCAGATATCTCCATGACAACCATGGCCTTGGAGGAGCCTGATGGAGGCTTGGGCAGCTGCCAGGCGGGTGAGGACCTCTCTGCACTGGCTGATCTCTGCTCAGGAAGGTCCCAGGGGAACAGGGCTTGAGATATCCTTGGGGGTGCTAGCAGGATGAAGCCCACGCCCCCCATTCTCCCATGAAGCAAGGTGGCTCACCTTCAGAGACCAGGACTTGGACCCTTACACTGGCTTAAACTGTGCTCCCATTTCCCACCTCTGGTCCATTGGTGTTTCAGGGGTCTATGAGAAGCACCCCCCAAAAAGAGGGGCTGGGCCACACAGGTTGGGTTTCTAATCCCAGCCTGCCAGGGAAGTGCTATGTGCCTTTGGGTAAGGCTGCCTCTGAGCCTATCTGCTTTCCAATCTGTAAAGTGGGAGCAATCACCTGCCTCTCACCCAGCAGAGCCTGGGGAATGGTGGGATTGGCCTGAGGATCCCCAGGACCTTGACTATTCCTCTTTTCCCACTAACAGTGACACCCAGGCTGGCCAACTCCAGCAGCTGGCCCCATGTGAGTAGCTGGGGCCCTTGGGTTTCATCCCAGGACTCCCCTGGAGTCGGGGACACACTGGCCAAAGAGGGTGGGTTTCTACAGCCCATGGGAAGGGCTTGGGCTCCCTCAGAGGAAAGGCAGGAAGGAAATACCCAGGATGACTGGTGACTCCCCACAGGATTCTCAGGAGTCAGAGGCTGAGGGTAGCTCTTCAGGCAGAGTGGATACCAGGCCCAAGAAGACAGAAAAGGAGTCTGTGGCCAAAGTGGCCCCAGGACCCAGCAAGGACAGGCTGAAAGCAGGAGCAAGTAGGTTTGCAGGAGGCAGGGGTGAAGTGGAGGGTGGGTATGGACATGGGGAGTAAACCTGGGATGGGTCGTTGGAT